CCGACCTTTCCACTTCTTGACTGCAAGTAGTGAGAAAATGAGACGTAGAGTTTCCATTCGAGTAGTGGGAGAAAAGACATCTGAATAATTGACTCCATGAATTTGAGAGTACCCCATGGCTACCAGTCGCGCCTTGAGCTTATCAAGAGTTCCATCAATATTTTTCTTTACCTTGAAAACCCACTTTGATTTAATTATATTTCTTTTTGCTGGACGCGGAACTAACTTCCAGGTCTGCATACCTATGAGGGTGGAGAACTCCACGTCAGCAGCTTTGAGCCAGCGGGTTTTGTCTGGAGAACGTAAAAGTTGCTTCCAAGTACGAGGGGTATCAAGTGGTGCGTCATCTTTGACAAGACCAGCCCACTTGCCTAGACAATCAGGCGCCTTTGAACTTCGAGTGGATTTTCTAACTGGAGGAGCAGATGGCTTGACTGTTTTCTTTGGTTTGGACTTATTCCCGGGAGGACAAGCAGAAGGCATCGGTTGAATCACCGGAGAGGACGAAGGTGAGGAAGAAGATTGAGAAGGGAGAAGATCTGAGTTGAGTGGGGTGGGTGCAGGCAAAATAGGGAAAGCAGAAGACAATGTAACCGGCAGCGGTAATACATCATTACCAGCCTGCGGAGTAAGAACAGAATCTGTCGTGTGGGAAGGTAAGATAACATCAACAGGATTCACACAATTTGGATCAGAAGAAGAAACATTTGGAGGTGAAGAGTGTGTCTGAGATTGAGGTGGATGAGGAGGTGAAAGAGCACGAGGAGAAACAATTGGCAAAACAGGAGGAGTAGGATCAGGAGTCTTGATTGGACGGCAACGAGGAGCGTGGATGGAGTTGGATAGACGTCTTTCAAAAAGTGCACGACATTGTCCTTTGGTAAGAGGAGGTTGGAGATTGGTGATATGGTCTTCAGGCCACGGAATATCTGCTTCCACAGCGGGAGGTGAAGATTGAGAGATGATGGATGAGTAGGGAAAGACATCATGTCTGAAGAGTACGTCCCTAGATTTAACAAATTTTCTGTTTCTAATATCCCATAATTTATATCCATTTCCATCCGGTAGGTAGGAAAGGAGAACAGCAATATGTGCCTTAGGATCAAGCTTTCGTCTGTCAGCTTCAGGAATCTTGTAGTAAGCTTGACATCCAAACGGATACAAATTTGAGATGGAGGGATCGGGTAAAGAAAGAATAGAGTTCGGAGAACGAGAACCAGACGGTGTGTGACAAGGTATTGAGTTGAGAGTGTGCATCAGATAACGCAGTGCATCGGCCCAGAAGTATTTGGGCATATATGCAGTGATTAAAGAACACCTCAGATGATTACCAATTGTACGATTAGATCTCTCCAAGACGCCATTAAGCTCAGGCGAGTGTGGTGGTCCTGGATTGTGTAAGATTCCTTTTTCACTGATATAAGACTGCATTTCTTTACTGAGATATTCTCCTCCATTATCACTACGCAGAGACTTAACATGACAAGAAGTAAGATTGTAAAATAGAGCACAAAAGTTTTTAAAACATGAGAAGACTTCAGATTTTAATTTGAGAGGATAAATGGCCGTGTGTTTTGAGTAATCATCAATAAATGTTGCAAAGTATTTGTAACCTTCACGTGATACAGTCTCAAAGCTAGCTACATCAGAATGAATAAGTTCACCAGCAGCTGAAGAACGATACAGGGAACGCAAGTGAAATGACATCCTGAACATCTTGCTCCTAACACAAATTGAACATTGCTGAACATCGATTTTGTTTAGAATTGATGGTTTGATATCATGAGATTTTAACAGAGCTTTCAATGGTCGTAAACCGATGTGACCTAAACGTGAATGCCAGTCAAAAAGGCTTACATCAGCCTTACTAGCAAAACATGAGATAGACGAGAGTTTATCGACCTTTTCAGGGAGATAGTAGAGATTTCCTCTTCGAATACCGTTGCCAACTGGTTTCGATTTTGAAACATCAACTGACGAGTTGTAAATCTGACATCCTTCACTCGTGAACACAACAGTGAATCCATCGTCGCATAGAGATGAAACCGAGAGGAGAGGTTCATGTAAGTCGGGAACAAGGAGTGAGTTATGGGTGGTCAGTCCTGATATGCCTAACTCAGCCTTGCCAGAGTGAATAGCATGGATAGTCGAATTATCTGCCAGGTGAATGGCCCGAGAGGTAGGTGTTAGACGAGTGAGAGACGAGAGATTAGGGGTCATTGTAGATGAACACCCAGAATCGATGTTCCATTCACGGAATTGTGAGGAGAACGCAACATCCGTCAAGGCAAATTTTGCCTGAGTACGCTCTTCTACTTCAGAGTAATCATCAGAGTCACTGAAATCCAGCGGTACAACAGATGTTTTACCCGCTTTAGAGGATTGAGGTCTGGAACGAGATTGAGTAATTGATTTAGAGCCGGACAAAGATGATTTACATTCTTCAATTATCTTGTCAAGAGCCCAACAGTGATTGACATTGTGGTTGGTTCGTTTACAGAAAGAGCACAGTTTGCTGTTCTTTGATCTTCT